GACCAACTCGCGGGCTTTAGACGACACACGATGATAAAGGGGCTTTAATTAATCTCTAGGTGATTTTCTTCTCGCCAGATTCGCGACACACGGGATACTTATTTCAGGTTTATCCCTTTAATATTCGAGTGATGATTCCTGAACCCTAACGTGAATATTTGTTTCTGTTCACAGCCGTTACTGTTGATTGTCTGTTCAGTTGTAGCAATGACACTGTCACCCCACCAGCAACATGTAACAATGACATAGTCACCCCACCAGCAACATGTAACAATGACACAGTCACCCCTCCAGCAACATGTAACAATGACACAGTCACCCCACCAGAAACATGTAACAATGACATAGTCACCCCACCAGCAACATGCAACAATGACACAGTCACCAGACCAGCAACATGTAACAATGACACAGTCACCAGACTAGCAACACGTAACAATGACACCAGACCAGCAACATGTAGCAATGACACCAGGCCAGCAACGTGTAGCAATGACACCAGACTAGCAACATGTCATAATGTTCATGTAACGTGCCACTATTGATGCAGCTGCTGGGTTTGTCCCGACAGTAGGTCCGGGGCCAAAGGTAAAGTCAACAATCTAGTTTTCGGAGAGTAGAATATCCATATAGAATATACCAGCAAATACAGGACCCTAACGTGAATATTTGTTTCTGTTCACAGCCGTTACTGTTGATTGTCTGTTCAGTTGTAGCAATGACACAGTCACCCCACCAGCAACATGTAACAATGACATAGTCACCCCACCAGCAACATGTAACAATGACACAGTCACCCCACCAGCAACATGTAACAATGACACAGTCACCCCACCAGCAACATGTAACAATGACACAGTCACCCCACCAGCAACATGTAACAATGACACAGTCACCCCACCAGCAACATGTAACAATGACACAGTCACCCCACCAGCAACATGTAACAATGACACAGTCACCCCACCAGCAACATGTAACAATGACACAGTCACCCCACCAGCAACATGTAACAATGACATAGTCACCCCACCAGCAACATGTAACAATGACACAGTCACCAGACTAGCAACATGTAACAATGACACAGTCACCCCACCAGCAACATGTAACAATGACACAGTCACCCCACCAGCAACATGTAACAATGACACAGTCACCCCACCAGCAACATGTAACAATGACATAGTCACCCCACCAGCAACATGTAACAATGACACAGTCACCCCACCAGCAACATGCAACAATGACACAGTCACCCCACCAGCAACATGCAACAATGACACAGTCACCCCACCAGCAACATGTAACAATGACACAGTCACCAGACTAGCAACATGTAACAATGACACAGTCACCCCACCAGCAACATGTAACAATGACACAGTCACCAGACTAGCAACATGTAACAATGATACAGTCACCAGACTAGCAACATGTAACAATGACACCAGACCAGCAACATGTAACAATGGCACCCCACCAGCAACATGTAACAATGACTGTCACCCGACCAGCAACATGTAACAATGACACCAGACCAGCAACATGTAACAATGATAGTCACCAGACTAGCAACATGTAACAATGACACCAGACCAGCAACATGTAACAATGACACAGTCACCAGACCAGCAACATGTAACAATGACACAGTCACCAGACTAGCAACATGTAACAATGGCACCCCACCAGCAACATGTAGCAATGACACCAGACCAGCAACGTGTAGCAATGACACCAGACCAGCAACGTGTAGCAATGACACAGTCACCCCACCAGCAACACGTAACAATGACACAGTCACCCCACCAGCAACATGTAACAATGACACTGTCACCCCACCAGCAACATGTAACAATGACACAGTCACCACACCAGCAACATGTAACAATGACACAGTCACCAGACTAGCAACATGTAACAATGACACCAGACCAGCAACATGTAGCAATGACACCAGACCAGCAACGTGTAGCAATGACACCAGACTAGCAACATGTCATAATGTTCATGTAACGTGCCACTATTGATGCAGCTGCTGGGTTTGTCCCGACAGTAGGTCCGGGGTCAAAGGTAAAGTCAACAATCTAATTTTCAGAGAGTAGAATATCCAAATAGAATATACCAGCAAATACAGGATCCTAATGTTTGCGAAGGAATTATGAACCCGGTAACATGGTGATTGGATGGTCACAATGTACGATATAGCTGCGTGGGGTTCAGCGTCTGCCAGTTTGCCGCTTGCACTGGTGTGTCTAGCCTTTAGTAACGGAATTATAAATGTGTATTGACTTTATATGGTACATCAATATCATATGGCACAGAAGACGACGCAATGACATGGTTGAAAGTGTATAAACGTGAAATGTACCCTTCTATAAACATCATAATGATATAAACAATTCATGTATATATACATATAAATAGCTTTCACCAAGCATGTCTGTCGCGGATGATTCATTTAAATCATCTCTTTGTGACAGATCAAAGTTGTCACACTACTTTGACACGGGTACAACATGAACACCCTACTCCAGGCAAAGGAACAACTGTTATTCTCACAAGGACATGACTGAGGTCACTGCGGCCAATCCTCACGTGCAGTCCATGCAACAGTATGTGCAGGGTGCACTAAGGTCGTCTTCGTCACTTTCCTTCCACCTATTCTTCGGACATGTATTTCTGAGGGTTGTGTTCAACACGGCGGAGCATGTTAGTTTTTTTGTCGAAATGACACAGTCGTACTCTTCTTATCCAACAAGTGACGAGTAAGTATTTCAAGGGTGTATATTTCAGAGGGTAAATATATACATACACACACACGCACGCACGCACGCGCGTATCCATTATTATGACTAATATTGATTTGGATAATATATTTGCATTTTGAACTTGTTTTGGGGAAAATAGCAAACAATATCCTGTTTAACACCCTTTCATATCGCCCCGTCCGCCAATGTGACATATTCTCCATCTCTACCTCCATTATATGCATCACATACGGAATTGGGTGACCACACTCACCTCCAGATCATCGTTCGAACCACTGAGGTTTTACTCACATTTTATCATTTAAATTGGGTTTAAGTTTTATTGGTATTCAGTATTGTTTTATGGATGACAACTTCATTGCTATGTTATAATGCGATATTTCGGTATAGATTCTTATAACGTCTATTGGATTGTGTAAACTGATAGTAGATTTGATTTACACTGTCTCTACACCTGTGATGGTTCTGGTGACTGGTGTCTGCTAATGTAGTTCGGTAAGGAGTCACATGTTTGGAAACTCCAGTGATACAAAGTGAGGGAGATGTAGCATGTCTATGCTGTATTCGGAGCAGTTCACTCCATGAGTTGTTCATGCCTGTATTGAATAGGTAAACACTCGAAAAGATACTCGTGCACACAAGCATCAAAGCACACTTCGGCAATTACACACAGTATTGGTATACTATCGGTTTATAGGATTTATTTCAAGCGTACTTGTACGCAAACAAGTCCAAATAAAATAGTTATGGTGATTAGTTTGTGTTTTGTGTGGAGGACACATTTGAGACTAAAAAGTAACAGGACCAAGCGTTGGAAACGATTGGCCACAGAATATATCGGGCTTGTATCTGTAGGCAGGCCACATTTATTACCAAAATATTTACAAGTGGCATCGCACTACTCGTTCTTAGGTGCGATTGTACGTACCTTAAACAAGGATATAATTTCGTTACCAAACTACCTACAAATGACATTTTCAAAAGGGGTACCCAATCAACATCTTCAGTTGTTGCGGTTCTGAAATACACGAGATCAAGGATATAATGCCATTCTGTATGGAATGGTAGTTACATTTAACGCTTTTACAGTACATTATCTACTTGTTAGACATTGTTCATGATGATGTCGAAGACGTTGCCGAACATATCACCGCGAGGTGAACTACCTATTGTAATTACTTCCAGACAGGTCATCGGAGTGTTCATCAGATTACAGGTGTAGGAAATCACACCTTTTCCAAGTCAATACCACTAGCTTGAGGTGTTAATCCATACTGGCCTGAGGCAGTGATCTAACCTTGCGTATATTACCCAATTAGTGGCATTGGCTCACTCCGGCCTGGGCTATGACCGTCATGCTTCATGGCCTGGTCAGTCATTCCAGTCTCCAGTGGCCCATGTACTAACGGACATTGGTCTCCGATAGAAGCCACATTACGTAAGACTTGTATAACATGGTGCAATTGTTTTCTGGCGTTGGTCAAGTTTGACCACGCCTCCTTGACCTCAAAGGGCATGCAGCTATGATCGCTTCTGTAGGACATGACTAACTTTTGTCCCAGTCTGCATTGGGAATGGACTGTACCATGATGTTTGTAGGGGTCACAGAAGGGTCAGTTAACGATGAGACCTTGCATATATCCAACTTTTCAGGGGCTAAAGGGACTGATGGGCGCGTCGTTTTATGAACACCTTTCCCTTTAGAAGACACCTTGCAATGACAGCAATTTAAGTAACTTTATTATTTTTACTGTTCACGTGTAAACTTGTTTGATACTCCCAGTGGGCCCTACCAACGGCCGCCATATTGTTGCGATATGGAATGATTCATTTAAGCCAAGGGGTCATAGTTCTATACAATCACGTTTCCCTTTGATTATTAACTGTGGTTAACAGTATTCGAACAACATTGGGATCTCATTGATTGTCATATACAGATATATTAGATCTTAAACAATTAATGAATCAGAAGCGATTGAAGGGACTTAAACGATGACGATATCCTGACACCCCTTCTTATGAATGGTCCAAACTAGTATTCAGCTTCTAATTGTTACATCACAGCAGTGGTCATACTAGCTCGCCCGTGGTCAGCATCAGTTGAAGTGTGGACATGGTGGGGAACTGACCACGGTGCGAGAGTGGACTATACTCATGTTGAGGACATTTATATTAGTATTTCAGCAGAGTCGCTGACATAAGCATACCATCCGGTTTCAACCTGGAGCAAGCCATACAAGGCCACGGTAGCGAGTGCAGTGGACGGTGGTCAAGCGGAGCGGACGGCGTTGTTTGGGGGAGTGTCAGTATGGATTCCCCCTCTCTGTCACGGGATACATCGGGGGACACCGACAGCAGCTCCACCGACGGATCCACCTCCGGGGGAAGCATAAGGCGGAAAGGTGAGCTCCAGCAGTTACGTCAAGGGTTTCCGTTGCGTTATTTCCTTGTTGAATATTCAATAATGTATTTCACTAGTTATCAGTTACCTGTCCTGGTTATTGGACACAGCAATGTCAACAGGAACTATTATGGTCAGAATCACATTGATAAAAGTATAACCCCTGCGTATTTAATGATTGCCTGCTATTGTTTATGCCTTGCTTATAATGAGGAAGTGTACCACAGCAGCATAAACAAGTTTGGGGTTTGCAATGCTTATAAAAGCAGAAACAACCCAAAATAGTTGACTTACTACGACATGGTATATTACGTGGACTCGGACAAGGTGTTTGTCGACCTCCTTGGCTATCTGGATATTACGTGTGTTGCCGCTGCTGAGGCTTGCTGCTGGGGTCTTTGTTCTTGTATCGAGCGGTCGTGTAATGTTACGTCATCACTGATGGTGGTGTGTTGGAGTGGCAGTGACGTTGTAGTGTTGCGTCATGACCCTGCACGCCAGTCATTGTTCAGGATTCAAGGTCACATTGCCCAGCTGTTCCCAAGCGCAACGGTAGGGAGAACGGCGATTTCAATAAGTTAAATAATCAAGCTATGTTACCAACACATTCGACCACCTATACAAAAGTAGTTTACTATTTTTAGTACTTTCAGTGATTGATCTACATTTATGTAGTTTTCAAGCCACATTGTAATTGTAGTCCAGCATGACAATATTACATCACAGCTAAGTATTCTGCTGACAGTGGTTTGTCAGCATTGATGGGTTGATCCAGGTATTTGTGGGAAATATATAGCATAACTGTTTTTGGTTGTTATTTTGAGAAATAGTTGGCAGATGAAACAAAATATCATCCTCGCAAATGTTACAATATACTTATAAATAAAACTATGATTTTTCTTTATTCTACCTCGCAAATCTATAATGTTGTCAATTTCTGACATCTTAGATATTGACTTGAGATACGTCATGAATACATCAGTGAGACCAACATTTCTTCTGTCAGTAGCATATGGCTGGCTGGGTCACAGTGACCTCACGTATGGTCAGCCAGTTAATGAAAGGTGAAGGTCATTCTCCGTCGGCCAGCTTGAGCTAATAATAACTGCCCGAGCCAAGAGCGTGTTAGCCGTGACCCTGTGGGCAGAGCATGGGTTGGACAATGGGCTGACCATTAGTGTTCAAGCTGTGAGCTGCTGACCCATCCTGTGAGTCAATACCGCGTGTTGTAATGACCAGCGAAGGACAGCCAATGTGGTGTTAGTTGAGCTCGGCCGTACATTGTTACGAGACGTTACACTGCAAGGCGGGATTCGGGTTCATTTCGTCGCTGATTTCCTATGCTTTTGTACTGGTTATTGAATAAATGAGGTCCAATTTTAACCGTTTGTCTCTTTAGTGAAATATGAACAACTCAAAACTCAACCTTTTTACTCCTTAGTTCTTAACGAACCATTGATATGCCGTGCAAATGTCGGCCGCTTGCTCGGTCTCTCTGGAACACGCTGAACACGTGTCCGCTAGTATTTAATGGTTGTCTCTGGTATACCAGAGTTGTACAGTGGCAAATGATAACTACAAAAACACAATTACAGAACACTAATGAATGAGACTGAACAGCATACCAGATACGTTACCTATACGACAAACCATCTCTCGAGATACCGGATTTGCCATGGCCCCGACTTGGACCATGTACAGCATTGTGTAGCCTGTCTCACAGTCTCTGAACCACATTATTTTCCCTACTGCCAAGCCCTCTCTGCAGTGCTAAAGCCCTAAATAAAGCAAGTCTAGATTTCCTCAGGTTCAGGATCTCTGGCCTCTCTAGGGCTCCTTTTCAATTTAAATGGGCATGTTTGTTACTATCAAAATTATATATATTCAGAGACTGAGCCTTAGTCTAAGCCTGGTGATATGTTTGTTGTGTGAGGGAAGCCTAGCTGGTAAAAGGTGCAAGTTTGAACCTCATTATGTCACAGCAAAAAACATATCTTATTTAGAAACATATTACAAAAGACTCCAAATGTTTAAGATACAAAATGGGATCAGAACATAGGCAATCTATATTTGCACAATCATTCGACACGTGAGTTAAATTCCCCTTTTTCTTATTGTCAAGGGTCTGCGAGACAGACTAGGATCCGGCATATCCAGGGTTCGTGGTGCTGGAGGTAGAATCAGTTGGTAACACATTGACGGCACTGCACTGCTGATGACCTTAACACATCAGATAACCTGATCTAAATACTATATAGAACGTATTGATTTACCATCCTTGCTGACAATGTCTATACAGTGTGACGGTATGCTTAGCCACGGGAACCGTATCTATGTGTTGTATCACAGTGTCGTATCTATGTGTTGTATCGCAGTGTCGTATCTATGTGTTGCATCGCAGTGTCGTATCTATGTGTTGTATCTCATTGCCGTATCTATGCGTTGTATCGCAGTGTCGTATCTATGCGGTGTATCTCATTGCCGTATCTATGCGTTGTGTCGTATCTATGTGGTGTATCTCATTGCCGTATCTATGTGTTGTATCGCAGTGTCGTATCTCTGTGTTGTATCGCAGTGTCGTATCTATGTGGTGTATCTCATTGCCGTATCTATGTGTTGTATGGCAGTGTCGTAGCTCTGTGCCGTATCTATGTGTTGTATGGCAGTGTCGTAGCTCTGTGCCGTATCTATGTGTTGTATCGCAGTGTCGTACCTCTATGTTGTATCGCAGTGTCGTAGCTCTGTGCCCTAATCTATGTGTTGTATCGCAGTGTCTTAGCTCTGTGCCGTATCTATGTGTTGTATCTATGTGTTGTACGTCTGCGCTGCTGCCAGTATGCGATGTTGATATTTACTTGTCACTTCACAAAACTACCAGTGCTTTCAAAATTGATTACCAATGTGGAACATACCGCACTTACAACACAGCCATAATGTACAAGAATTGTAGTCCCAGGGAAACTGCCACGTGCGTCGTTTCCTAAACACTTAACTTCAAATATAGTCACTATATTCTCTATCTAGCAATCCAAGATACTTATCGGGCTTGGAATCATCGAGAGAGAACACATGTTTAACTGTCCGGTTTCCTAACCAATAAGCAAATATATTGTCCCAGTACTTTCATCTGATGGCACAATGTCTATGTAAGCCATGCTTACCCTTGAGTACAAGGTTGTATTTGGTGAATCTGTAGTAGTTGTGTTTGTGGTGTTGTACAGTGAAGCAGACATCAGCCGTGTGTAATTCAACTCTGACCACGCCATATACACATGGGGTGTGGTTGTGTTACAGCATGCCGGTTTGTGTTGCAGGTGTCCCATACATTCCAAGTTACATGGACCTGACCAATGGACCGGAGCCATGCGTGGTGTGTTCCGACGCCGCTACGGGCTACCACTACCGCTGCATGACATGTGAAGGTTGCAAGGTAACTCACTACTTAGGAAGTGATTGGGACTACAAATCGTGGTTCTGTTACTCGTTTGTGGGCAATTTGTGCAGAATATAACTATGTTTTTCCATGTAATATTGAGTTTAAGATTCCGAACTGCATTGGCTCGAGACAGGATATCCTGTTGGTTAAAGCGTTGGCCCAAAGACCCGGGTACTAATATTGGCCAAACGGGTTAATTGTGAGTTTCTGGTGTATCCCGCAACTTGCTGGTTTAATGGTTGACAGACGCTTGTAGTTATACACGTAGTTTTACTGTGAATATAATGGTTGGACTTTTGGATATTTTAACAGGGCTTTTTTCGACGGACTATTCAGAAGAATTTGAAATATCATTGTAAATGGAACGGGAATTGCGTCATTGACAAAACAACACGGAACCAGTGCCAAGAATGCCGTTTCCAGAAGTGTGTGAGGGTCGGCATGGCAACTGACTGTGAGTATACCTGGCTCCACTTTATCAAAGTATTTCATTTTGAATTAAACTGTCACCTTCTGTATACTTGACATCACCTCATCCAGCTGTAACTTTAACTGAATGAGTGCACTTATTGGATCATCATCTAAATCAGCAACAAAGTCTTTCTGCATGTCTTCAATAAACAACAACATACTGATATTTCACTCCTGTTCATTTATTTTTAGTGGTGCTAAACGAAAGACAACGAAAAGCTAAACGGAAACTGATCGAAGAGAATCGAGAACGCAGAAAACAGGACAACATAAAGGACTTGAGACTGGACACTGCGGACAATGTCCCCGAACACATGTCGGACAGGGACAGGTCGCTGATAGCAGACATTTGTGGCGCATATGAAGCCACGCGGATCAAGACGCCCAACATCCGTTTTCCCCTGGTTAGTTCAGCCTTATGTATACGCTCATCAATGTGTGTCTCGGCCCATCGTTTGTTAAAGTACATGTATATGAAATTAGACATGTAAGACAGCAATATCCATATCACAATAAGTATACATATTAGGAGACTGGATATGTAAGACTGGACGTAAGACACGAATATCCGTGGGATTCAACCTGGCCACTTGTGTCACTGCCTGCTGACATTTATTGTCATCCCCTACTACACCAGTCCCGAGATCAATGTGCATCTCAGTACCCTGTACAGACCAACTGGTTCCAGCTGATGTACAGGCAGGAGATGCGCACTCTAGCATTCCTTTAATATGTTGTGACTACGTTTTGTACGCCAGAGAACTGTACAGGCGCCTGATGGTTTCACATTTAATGCTTATAAATCAGCAGATATCATTGCCACTGAGTTATTCACGAGGCAAGTCCTCCTCTTCACCTCTGATCACGTGAGGCTGCCATGTTGTCAAAGACGTTACACAAAATCATTTTGACAAAACTGATCAGGTGACGTGCTGACTCATTTACCTTCATCGCTTGACATGTTTGGCGGGCACAACACTATCGAGTCTTGGTTGTCCAGTGGACTTAAAAAGCTTCCCATAGGTGACACACTGTGACATAACGGAATGATTGTCCAGAGCGACGTTAGAGCACCAACACACTCACAGTTAACAACTCTCACATACATGATTTGTTTTCAGCCGGAGTACGATACCAGCCAGACCTCTGAGGCGGAGGCTTGGCAGCAGTTGGCGGAGGTGATGACACCGTCTATTGTCAAAGTTGTGGAGTTCGCCAAAGGAGTGCCAGGTTTTGTACAGGTATGTCCAGGAGTATATACACACTCTCTGCTGCTGCATCTTATCCTCCCTAACCGTGACGGTGAGGACAACGTGACACCTATTCTTTGCATCATAGTGTTAAGGAAGAACTAAATTGTCCGCTTTAGACATGCATACACACTTATAAACATGGACCAATATATACCAAGATGTAACATCATGCTTTCTGCGATTGCAGTTGAACGTGGACGACCAGATTCTGCTTCTCAAGTCGTGCTGCATGGAGGTGATGTGTCTGCGGGCGGCATGCAGGTTCGATGCCAGGACACAGTCCCTCATTTTACCAAACGGCCTCACTGTACACAAGTCGGCTCTCCACAAAGGCTCTCTTGGAGTATTGGTGGAACCTATATTTGAGTTCGCTCTTGGGCTGGCTAAATTAGAGCTCGACCAGACGGAGGTGGCGCTCCTGGCAGCTGTGTTGCTGATGCAGTCAGGTGAGCATCGTCACCATGTGCAGGGTGGAATCGGGGCTAAGTTCATTATATAGATCAAGGGAGACAATAAATTGATCATAGAGCCGGAATATATGTAGATCGCCTGTAGGGAAGCTGTCAACAGAAAGCCTTTTACTTCATCAAGAGATGAATGTAATTAAGTATTAACGTCATTTAAAATATGCTGTCACGGCAACCGTATGTACTATTGATGGTTTGCTTAAAGGTGCCTATATATTAATAGAAAACAAGAGTTATATGTGTCTCAATAAAACTGTTTTAGGTGACAGCGAAAAAAATATTTTCCTGATTCTTCAAGGATCAGTTTCATGGATAAGTAGTGACCTAGAATCATCTATCTCTGTTACATTATTCATTCTCATTTCAGATCGATCCGGATTGAAAGAACCCGAAGCAGTAGAAAAATTGCAAGATGCCATTTTGGGAGCATACAAGCGTTACATTGCCGAAAATCGACCACACCAACCAGTTCATTGGGCCAAAGTACTGATGAAGGTCACTGACCTACGTACTATCAGCACCAGGCACGCAGAGCGCGTGTTGTGCGTGCGACTTGAATCTAAAGGGGATATACCACCGATGTTCCTAGAAATGTTCCGGGAGAACGAGACCGACAAATCCTGACAAACATGTCACCCTGTCATGTTACAGTATTAGTGAATCTGGACATTGGATTCGAACCAGGGAATTCGGAGCAAAATAGTGCATCGAGGACCAAGTCCCACTGGAGTGCTGATGAAGTGACTGTGATGAACAGCTATTTAAACATCCAATGTATGAGGACACTGTCACCCTGCTTTAAGACCCATCTGTAAAGAGTGTACGCTGTGATATACAGGCATTGTCATTCATATCACGTACAGTATGTATGCATCCCCCTGAATGCTAGAATCGTGTTTCTATATCGTCAAAAAACGAATCAGCCCTTTATTGTACATATACAAGCAATGTAGGTATGTATGATAGCTGAAGCACCAATATGTCCTGTCTTACCTGGTCCACGTTATGCGCTTTAAACACCCAACCCCAGCATCCAAGATAAAATGGTCAACGAGAGATAGAGGGGTTATTTGTTTGTGTTTTACAAAGCCCCCTTAATGTACAGATGATAATGGTGTTATCCCTGACTCGGCGATTTGATCTACGACATTGAAATCAATGAGTCATCTTGTCTTCATTGAAATGCACCTGTCACATAACACTTGAAGATGCCATAAAATCATCTCCCATGTTTCACTTCCACAGATAGAAGTTGGGTAAAATATACGCTTCCGCAGACTTGCACGAATATGTTCATACCATTCCTCTGAGTGGCGTGTGTGCACGGTGTTATCCATTGTTGTATAGGGCTGTGTATATGTAATATGGTAGCTATTGCCCCTCGCAACGTATTTACAAACAGGGACGTGAACGAGACAATCAGATGCTTACAGGATTTCAGGGGTTCACTGACAAATGTGATCCATATGTATGACTTTATAACACACACAGGTTGTAATCCCACGGTGCTTAGCTCCCTTGGTGCTGTCCATAAATATTTGCCATAATATACTATCCCGGTTCATTGTCCATGCCTTCTACACTCACTAGAACATACTGAGAAGTGATGTCTTTATTGTGCCTAAACAGGATCAGCCTTGTTACCTCCGAGAATTGATTAACTATACACTTCTACAATTGCAATTGTTAGAGAACATTTCTCATTGAAAATATATTTATTTCCATGATGTTCTTTCATTCATTATAGTTCTGATTTGGGGGTCATTTGGCTTACCATTCCGACTGTACAACACAACTACCTCATGTGTATAGAGTCTGTGGAGAGTGTTTGCTTCACAGCTGTTGATATGCTAGTCAGAGGTTGAATGTCATATTCATTCCCAACTCACCTGTGATTATATAGTACGCCTTTTCTACTTCATCTTTCCACTGTTCGTAGTAATATTGATCAGCTCACTATACAGTTTACATAGATTTACTGATCTCGTTCTTGTAAAACTTAGGGACCATAAATACTTTGGGGGACTGGATGTTAAGACTGAGCGCTCAGTTTTATTCAAATATCCCTGAAAATATTTATGATCCATAGCGCTTTTGGATATACATTTTCCACATGTGAAGTCAGAGGGTTTCTTCAATTTGAATGACTTTGTAGAACACGGTGGTATTTGAGGTAATTGTTGCCGTGGAGTACAACATGGCCCCGATCTACTGCCATGTATATAGCGAGTTCTCGGTACTGTGTGAATGAAAATTACATTACTATTGTAGCAAAGATGGAGCTTTTGTCGTATCGAACCATTGGAATTGTATGGCGGTGAATTATTATGATGTATATTTAGATTATATCCGGTGTATAACGTGATAGCTAGGCCACAAAGATAACCCTGTTTACTGTGATGGGGGTAGAACGTCCCCGGTGTATCTATGTATGGAACACTGTCCACTGTGCCACCTATGCCATAAAAATGTTTCAGCAAACATCACGCAACCGGTGAGTAATTATTTGTTCGATGAGAACATAAATCTCGGTGTGGTGAAAACTATTGAATGATATTTTATAGCTTCCTGCCTGTATATACGATACATATTTTACTGTTTATTGACGGGATTCTATCGCTGATTATTTATTCATATTTTGCAAATACGTCTGTTGTTCTTGTATTTACTTAATATATGTCGTCCCAATCAGTAGTTGCATAACAGCAGGGCTTTGTGTGGCCATTTAAACACTGCCTGCCTGAAAACAACGACCCAGATTAGCAAATGTGCTTTTGCTTATTCGTGTTCTCTCTTTGTGCATTCTTGTTATATGAAGTTTGCGTCAGTACGATGAAACTGTTGAAGTTTTCTTCCAATGCCTGCACAGTAAGGTGGGCAGCCTGTCTTTCCTTCTCCAACTCACATCGTCTGCAATGTTTCACAAATAGTTTGACACACTGACGTCAGTTGAGGTGCAAGGAAACCGTTCAACTCTTTTAAGTTTTCGTCTGTTGTTTAAGATCTAGACCAGTTCAAATTACTATCCATTTTTCTCCCTCTTCTGTGGATAGTGCGCTGTTGTTTGTTGAATGTTTAGAGTGTTTGTCTGTGATGTGTTTCCGATGAGTGCGTATGGATTTCATCTCCAATGATCGGAAACCACTGCGTTTTGGTACGCAAATAGCAGCAGAAGGATCGAGAATTCCAATGCAATTGGTATGACTATAGAACGGATGTGGTCTATATCGAGGCTGAACTCGGTACAAGGCCGTATTTATACAATAAATCACATTTATGTTGCTTTTGTACATTTGTTTTTCATTTATCCAAGTACAGGTGTAAGTTTGCCCTTCTGTCGCCACTGGTTCACCCGTGCATTCTGTCCACATGCCCGTGTGCCGAACATGGGAAAATAGGAAATATATTTTTCTTCACTGTTTGCATGTGGTATTCTGTCAAATGTAATTACTCTAGATCGGCGTAATAATCAACGGAAGCCGTGGCCCCCGGGTAGAACTTAGTTTTCAGGCATTCACCTTTACTTCCAAACATTCTTTCTCAACACATTCACCTGGTAGTGCGTTAGTGCGTTAACCTGCTTCAGATTTTGTCAGTCCAGCGCTTGCCTGTGTCTGACAGACATGGATGTAACGCTGCCCAAGACGTGTTAATGCATTCTGTATCTGAACCTTAATGACAGAAGCCACTCAACAGATTGATGCTGGATGTTAAATATCTCCATTATCAGGAATAGTCCACCAAGTTCTCGACCCGGACCGGACAATCATCTGTCACTAAAGTACTGTCGGAAATAGAAAAAACACACTGTTTTTTCACATTTATATCCACAATTTATGTAGGTAATATGTGAAAGTGTGAAATATCTGTTAAACTAAGTTCGGCCTAACATCAGTCTCAGTAGTAGGGAGATAGGAAGTGTAGAAAAAGGACTTTACTGAGGAGAGGTTAGTGCAGAAATGAGCAATGCGGGGTTTTTTCTAAGTCCAAGTCGACTTATTTGGAACAGACCTTGGCTTTATGCAAATTAGTGTGCGATGATATGGTATTACAAAGGACACTTTTTGAAAGCCCATTTTGAAATTAGACTTAGCTTCATTATAAACGATAGCTGACGTACAAAATACTATTTTTAATTGTGAAACACTTAGACACCCCCATGGAGTCTCACTACCACCATAAAAAGCAGACATGGGGGCGTCTCAAAAGCAAAACCAGGTCGGGTGCCGCAGACGGTGGTTGGGTAGGGTTGGGAGATGTTAATAAATACATGAGACATATGCAACACACAAGCACACGTATAGAATATCTTTGAGATGACCATGTGCCTTTAGGCAGCACGTGCATTCCATGCTGGGTGTGTCGATGGTCCGTCGTCACACCTGGCTGAGCGACCTAACTGCCATCTATAGTCTGATCTATTGTTTTAAACAGCTACTCCTTTTTTTCTAAGTTTTGCCCGATTTTACGAGTAAACATGCTTTTCTGGATATCCTATTACGCATCCCACTGAATGCCCAGTTAGGCCGATGTGGGTTATTTCGACATATGCTATTTGCAATTGTGTAAATTTCAGGGATACAGAGTAACAGCCAAAAAACTTCTTTTTTTCTATTTCCGACAGTACTTTTAAATGCTGGCTATATCCATCACCTAGTTCTACATATATATTTCTATAGTCATATATATCCGTTGTGTGGTGGGAAAATAGCATTTGATTCTTTAGAAGCTTTCGACATGGTCATGTTTCCTCATGTTTAAGGTAAAATATTTAATGGTATGAAAAGTATGCATCAAAACATAGGCAGTATCAAATCAGCAGTTAATATTAATCCAGGTAGAAAATTGTCCATTCACACCGCATGTTCAAATGGCACGAGATAGAGATGTCCATTATTGTTTTACACCCTCACTGGTTGTATGGCATGCGCCTTATCTTGTGTTTCCATTTAAATGTTAAATATACTATCAAAAAAAGAAACGCATAGGCCAGAAATATGTTGCGAAAATGTTGTATTTTCAAACATGTATAACTCGTCAACAAATAGACTTTAGTACATGACTGTTTATATCAGTTTAGAAAAAATGTCTATACAACCAAGTGGATAATTTTAGACAAAGGAGATGTTGAGCACATGGTGACGACGTAGCACGGTTTCCCACGTCGGGTCTCCTGGCTCTCAGTCCAATCTCTCTCAACCTGTTCCGTACAGTTTGACCGGATATCCTCCGAAGTTAAGGCACCCTGGCTGCTGTGCTCTCACCCGTGGCAGTACGATCATGCAAAAAGAAGTACCTGGATGTACCGATCTTGGGCTGCAGTGGTGACTCGAGGTTTGCCTGTACAGGGGACGGTCATTTGTCATACCTGGTTGGTTGTAACGAGCTGCAAGCCGTGATATCGTGCTCAGACTAACATTCAGACGCCTGGCAATAGAAGATTGGTAATCTCCAGCGTGCATTCTTTCAATGGCGATGTTCCGTGTGGCAGAGTCAAGACGTGACGTAGAGATTTGTCCTTGAAACTCCTTCAAAACGATTTCCGATTTCCGATTTCCGAAAGTAATCTGAATTTTCATAGCCAGACAGTGCATGCTCTTTGCTGCACAATTTCAACTGGAAGG